ACAGAATAGTAATAGATGGTAGTTTGTAATTGCATAATTACATAATCAATCATAAAAATGGCCCCATATCCTTGGTACCCACTAAGATTTTTTATTACTATTATGCTCTTTTCTTGTATACCTGTGTGAAGTGTGGAACACATGATGCTACACTAGTTTGTATGGTTAACTCCATAAGTTCCTTTATCCTTGTGTTCTGGTACTGTTTTAATCATTCCCCTGTTTACATAATAATGTGTGCCATTATGACAACTGGCATATATACCCACCACTAACATCTGTCATTACAGCTATCAGTATTTATGTTACAACTGGGGTACTTACACTGTAACAGAAAGTAATATGGGGTATTGAAAGTTCTAGAGGTAACTGTACAATGAAATAGAATTATTACACTTTCACACAGCTAGACCCCAGTACAAGGCATGCAGAAAATGGAATTGGTAAAATAAAGTTTATATAAATTTTTTTATCACCAATGACATTTCCATTGCATGCTGAAAATAATCAATACTGCATATGCACATAACCAATCATAGGTTACACTGTATTTCAAGCTATTCACAACCATTACTTTAAAATCTGAAATCTACCCCAAATGCCTCACTGTGACACAAATGCTCTATGCTCTAAAACAGATTTTTTGTCCTATTGCAGAGCTCCCTACTAAATTATCACTGACTAAGAAACGCGTTCAAACTCTTTCTTGCCATAATATATATATATGATGAATATTCATCGGCCTTTTCTGCAGCACACAACTTAGAGGCCACTGGGGCCACTTGACACCATCACTACAAGGTAGGCTAGGTTATTTATAGCATTATCTAATCTAATTCTCTCTGGAGGTATGTCATAGATGAAAAAGTCTTACAACTCATCTACCTATCAATATACCTACATTTTTACTTGATTGTCCACAACCAAAATTTATTTTATACAATGTCAATGCTTGGTTGACTTTCTTAACTTCCTTAGTTTTCTATTTTCTATACATTACAATATATTACTACCATGCACACCACCAAGTCCCTGCACACAATTTTACAAAGTACATTATATGCCATATACATTTATAGTACATTAGTAGTGGGAATACTCATGTGTTTGTGTTTCTGCAGACAATCAGAAAAGAAGATACTCTCTTACTATAATGCAAATCACATAAATAGTGTGTATAGTTGCATATAATCATATATTGGTAATAAACCATTCTGTTAAAATAGTAATCATATCCTTTTAATACTAATGGTAATAAGAAATAAACCGGAATACAAAAGATATACCATTACGTAACTATCAATTTTGCCTTATCCTTAACATACTTATAGGTGTCATAACACACAACAAGAGAAGACTGTTGGAACTCATGAAGCTTTCTAAACTTGTCCCCCAAATGTTATGATAACTGACATCATCATCAAACTTTACTATATTACAATCTTACCATTATCACCAATCACGAAAATCATGGCGACGAAATGTTTTGTTCGTCCCTCCCCATCTTATAATCCGCTTTTTCTGTACACAAAAAGGTTACATCTTTCTATACACACAAGCAATATCAACACAGTCCCTCTCTGACTGCAACTGTGCAAGACACACAAGGTTTCACCCAACCTGTCATGATCGAGGTGCATCGAAGTGTCTCTGAATCTCACGCTCTGCACGTCCGGTGGATCACGCTCTGACGATGATGGATGTCAACAATAACATTGGTCAGCTGATTCTGTGCTATCAGCTGATTCTACGCGTTCGACATATTATGCACATTTTGCGCATTTGAGTAGGTGTATATAGGGAATTTTAACATTATTATGAATATATAAACGACACTGAGGGTTTCAATTGTCAAATGCAAAAATATAGAATTCCTAAATAAGATAAAATTGGTTCTTGATCACCTAGTATTGCCATCTGCGTTAGACTTTTTTTTCGTAGCGGTGTATAATGATGATTTTTTTTACTGTCGCAATACATATTTGAACTAATCTACTCAAATTCACACACATACACACACACACACACACACACACACACACACACAACACACACACACACACACACACACACAACACAACACACACACACACACACACACACACACACACACACACACACAACACACACCACACACACACACACACACACACACACACACACACACACAACACACACACACACACATACACACACACACACACACACACACACATATATATACATACGCACGCACTCACACACTCACACACACACACACACACACACGCACATATGTGTTGTGAATATATAATATATATATGTATGTATGTATGTATGTATGTATGTATGTATGTATGTATGTATGTATATATGTAAGCGTGGATGTATGTGTGCATATATGTTATTTTTGATGTCATTCATTTATACTTGATTTCTTTCTTAAAGTTTATGCCAGAATTATCATTGAGTATAAACAATGATTATATAATATTTGTTGAATGCTATCAAATTTGTAGTTCTGATGTATGAGACAAGCCTATTTATGTAATTGCCAGATAGTTGAGTCACCACTAAAATTATTTTCATTTTCTATCATCAGAACTATGACAACCGTAACAACAGAAAACGTACACCCATGATAGTGGAGACGGAGATTTCTGAGGGAAACTTAATCATAAAAATAGAAACATTATATTCAATAGTTTGGTTTTATTCAATAGTTTTATACTCAGTTCCTCTACATATATTTAAAGCATAAATTTCGGCAAACGACCCAGGATCACACTAACCATAATAACCAAAATGGTGCAAATATATGAGGAAATATTAGATATAGAAAAGCAGCTTATGGTGATAAAAGGCTTCATAGTTCAATAATCATTACTCACTAAAATGGTTGGTAAGATGAAATAAGATTGGCTAATTCATACCATCGGCAGGTTCCACTCTTACATCTTCCTTATTTTCTTCTTGGTTTTCTTTTCCTCTTCTATCTTTTGTTTAGCTTTCCTATTTTATTTTACTTTCCTCTTCATTTCCTTCCGTCTAATTACCTTTTTCTTTGCTTCTCTCTCTCTCTCTCTCTCTCTCTCTCTCTCTCTCTCTCTCTCTCTCTCTCTCTCTCTCTCTCTCTCTCTCTCTCTCTCTCTCTCTCTCTCTCTCTCTCTCTCTCTCTCTCTCTCTCTCTCTCTCTCTCTCTCTCTCTCTCTCTCTCTCTCTCTCTCTCTCTCTCTCTCTCTCTCTCTCTCTCTCTCTCTCTCTCTCTCTCTCTCTCTCTCTCTCTCTCTCTCTCTCTCTCTCTCTCTCTCTCTCTCTCTCTCTCTCTCTCTCTCTCTCTTTCATTTTTTCATGTTACCGTTGCTATTTTTTCATCATCTTTTATTACCATCAGTTTATCAAATTCGGAAAAAAAAGTAATAATGCCAATAGAAATGAAAACAATAACAAGGAACAGCAATAATGGTAACAAGATTAAACTGAATTGTAATAGATATCACAATTTAACATCACTGATGATAAGTAATACAAAGCCTTTGTTTACAATATCCATCTTCACTCGAATAATTCATTGCAAATTTAAAGTCATCAGACATATAACAGATAATAGAATATGAAGTAAAATTGAGGTAAAGCAATTATTTGAAATACTATCGTATTAATGAAGTTCGTATACCAATTGTCACGAGAAGGAAACAAATAAACACAATATAGATCAAGACAAAAACATTCTAATGAGAACACCGCAAACCAAAAACAAAACAAAAAGAAAATGTACAAATTATTCATTTCTAATAAATGTTTATCTTTTTTATTTAGCGAAACAATTTATCGCATAACTGCTATGAAATCTTGACAGAAGTAGTAAAGATATAAAAGACATAAATCAGCTAATGATCGTGAAAATGGCCATGGTTATTTAGATTAATAGACCTATATATTTCATACACATTTCATCACGCCATCTTTCATATCTTGTCCCCCCCCCTCTTTCTCTCTCTCTCCCTCTCCCTCTCTCTCTCTCCCTCCCCCCCCTCTCTCTCTCTCTCTCCCTCTCTCCCTCCCCTTCTCCTCCTCCCTCCTCCTCCCTCCTCCTCTCTCTCCTCTCTCTCTCTCTCTCTCTCTCTCTCTCTCTCTCTCTCTCTCTCTCTCTCTCTCTCTCTCTCTCTCTCTCTCTCTCTCTCTCTCTCTCTCTCTCTCTCGCTGGTTATCCTTTATGGATAGGTCTATTTTCATACAGAAACACACGATTAAGATATTTTAACTTCTGTTTACAATTCATTATTTTCGTTCGGATCTGCCTTTAAATAATGGTCTCATTTTTTCAGCCTTTCTTCTGTACTGTCTATATTTTACCTCTTTCAATTGCTTTCCTGCTTTTTAAATCAATACTTCAAACGGTATTGTATAACTAGAGTAAAAATTTGCTCTTTCAGGCTGCAGCAAAATTTTATGAAACCAAAGACAATGAGGCTAGAATTTGAACAGCGATATCCGCGCTCTCCCAAATGGCGTCTTGTTCGTGGACGCTCTAAAAAAAAAAAAAAAATGTCTATCGTTGAATCCTCTTCGTCACAACATTTTCTTTACACTTTTAGAGGGGGGGGGGTATCCAAAAAGTGTGCTTTGTACGCTTGTGAAAATGTTGAAAGCTGAACCACCCTACGTAATGACAATATGATTAAGCAGATAAATAAAGAATAAGTATATGTATGTATAGATACACACACACAAACACATGTGCACACACATATATATGCGTACATACACACACGTACATGCACGCACACACACTCACATATATGTATGTATGTGTATGTATATATGATATATATATATATATATATATATATATATATATATATATATAATATATATATATATATATATATATATATATATATATATATATATATATTATATATATATATATATATATAGATAGAGAGAGAGAGAGAGAGAGAGAGAGAGAGAGAGAGAGAGAAGAGAGAGAGAGAGAGACACACACACACACACACACACACACACACACCACACACACTCCATATATATATATATATATATATATGTGTGTGTGTGTGTGTGTGTGTGTGTGTGTGTGTGTGTATGTATGTATATATACAAATATACATATATATGTATACACGCACAAATACACACATATATGTGTATATACATATATGTGTGTCTATGTATTGTATATATGTTTGTATATACAGTATATGCACAATAGTGACATTTCATTCCACCTGTCTCATGAAAACAGCTTTCTTTTTCGCTGTATCTGTATTTCTAAGAAAACGTTGGATGGAATAAGGCAAACTTTAGATGAAAAACCGATAATAACTTATTCTTATCACCAACTACTAAAAGTTGAGATTACATTCAGCCTTCAACCAAATCAGCTTCCGTCAACACTGTCTAATGAAGGGAAATAGAAAACCATTTAACTTTTTAAAATTTTATTCACAAACTCACATGTCGAAACAACACAAGCATCTCGGCTGTGTATCTGGTTCATGTATTGTCTAAAAACAAACAATGCGAATAAGTCTTAAATTAAGATATCAAATGTACAGTATATACAAAACAAAACTGTCACAGAGAAAAATATCACAATTCAAATAACAGATTGCGAGAACACGCTACAACCGGTTATGAAAAAGCCTGGAATACAAGCCTTTCAAAGGAATGTCTTTAGTCATGTTGTAAGATTTAAAAAAAAAGACGTTGATTCAGAGACAAAAGGTTCATTATCAGTCAATCTCTGTTCGATATTCTACCAATAGTCTACTTGAAAAAGACAGGTACAAATGCCATATGAATGAAGATAAAAAAAATGGCAATTTTGTTTAGAAATGAATACCTTTGTACGAAGTAACTCCACCATGTCAAAAAAAAACGGTAAGATTTATCAAACATAATTCAAAAGTACAGGTTCTCAGGTTTGATTAAAAATATATATGTATATAAAAAAAAATATCAAACAATAATGCATGTTTCCAAGATTAAAAGCAAGAATAAATGCAACACTAAAAGAACACCAATCCGTAACTGACAATAAATAAAATGTTAATGACCCCTCCAACACCACGCCCTTGTCTCATTTATTTTTCCTCCCAAAAATCTTGCTTTTTATTGGTAGTCATTAATCTGATTTCAAATTATCCGATCGCTTCCGCAGACTTACGATCACCACCATTTAAAGACATTGTCGTGCTCAGTCTCAGCGACCTGGTGGCGCTCGTATGCCAGGGCGATGTGGCACCACCGGCGAGGTGACTAGATCCTTGACACATCGCCTGCGGGGAAAAGACACATGGCAGTTGGGGGAGAGTGAATGCATCATGATTATAATTAGTATACTCAAGCAAGAAGAGCTTTCTTTGCAAATCAACAAACAATGCTTAAGACTTGCCGTTTGCTGGCACCGAGGGGGACTCACCTATAGTGTTGCCGTCAGTGAGGAAGACCAGCATCTGTCTGGAGCCGACTCGCCGGATGGACGGCAGGCGGTCCCTCTGCCCGACGTCCTTGCTGGCCGCCCCCGCGCCCGCCCCGGCCACGTCCTCGTTGTCATCGCTCAGGTGGTGCGCGTCCACAGGGAACTCCTCCTCGGACGACTCGAAGACGTCGAAGGTGAGGTCTTCAGGCAGTTCGTCGGAGAGGGAGAGCCTGAGGGAGTGCCTCGAGGGCGTGGTGGACCGGCGGGAGGATCTGCGGCTCTGAGGAGTCTCTGGAGGGAGCGTCACCGTCCTGAAGCTCACCTCCTGGTCGCCTGTGCCACACGATACGTAAGACACATGATAATGCATGGCAGTGAAGGAAGTGATGATGGCATGTTAATGTTACAACAATTAAGTCTTCATTTCATCTTCAAGAAATGTTAATACTGATATAGGAAGAAAAGTAGTTATTTCTCGAATAGTCATTTAAGATTAGAAGTACAGTAACTGTACATTCTATGTAATTAATGCTTATTTACTGAGCATGCATATCTATATATACAAGTGTTCATACAAAATGTTACCGACACCGTTTCATAAGCTGTGGAAAGAAAATTGATGACAGACATTGAACTGTATAATACATAAAATAAAACGTTATAATTGTTGTGACCCAATTTACTTCAAGTAGCGTACGTAGGTTTCAGTACGTACCGAGTTTTGTTCTCTATAGTTGTTGGTTTTATCACCACTAAGATAATCAACATCATGCTTTTTTTGGGATTATATGTTTATATATAGTAGATTTAAATGTGTGCATGTATCAACAGTAATTTACATCTGCTAAGGATATTAAGGTTCCGTATTGTAATAATAAGAAATACATATCTCGGCAATCTAAAAAACATGTGACTTAAACTAATATAATAACTACATGATCTAAGAAATACTTCATACAGTGCAAACAAAGCAAACTCGTAAGATAGATTGCGGCGCACATCTACAGCTTCACTCGGGGCCTAACCTTTGCCCCGGGGATATTCGAGGCGTTACCTACGAGGACGGCGCGTCGCTGCCACGACAGATGGCTGGTCGCATCTGGTGTCACCTCCGTGCCCCGGGCGGTAACAGTGAGTTCGCTGATATTCCCTTTGCCAAGGGGCGTGAAGGGACCAGCGTGGGGCGTAGTGGCGGCCCCATATGACGAGGAGGCGGCCCCAGGGGGCGTGGTGGTGGAAGGAGAGGGCGAGGTGGCCCGAGGACCCGCCCCACCACCGGCCCTTTCGGATGGTGCAACCTCACAGTCTTGCCCACGACTGCATGGTTACCCGCCCCGGGCACAGCGGGAGGCGCCCAAGGGACACAGGTAGCGAGCCACACCAGGAGAACCCCAGAGGAAACGTTCCCGGGTCATGGAGAAGACAAGGGAAGGAGGAAAAAGAAAAACATGCATATGTCAGTACCAAAGTGTACAAGCGAAAACAAAAACACGTGTTCATAAACACGAACTTTTACCCTTGCTAGAAAATACTTGATAAAATGCAAAGATAAAAGAGGTCCTGCAGTACGACCCTTACGAAGATTCTGGAGTAGATGAGGAGGAGAATAAACTGAACTGAATAAAAGACTAAAAAATACCAAAATTTCCTGTTAAGGAGATTAACCTTTAAGTATAACAAAAGATTTCCGCCCAAATGAACAAAAAGGGACAGCAGAGATGCATCTGATTCATACCAAGAAGTAATGCCCAGAGAAATAAAGTTTGGGTTTCAGAGGGATAACATAAAGGCTCCTGTACCATCCTCCCAAAAGAGACTAGAGTTTGAGTATTAGCACAAATAATTCGGGAGATGACCCACGTGCAGACGGGAATGAGCTGAGAGCGCACGTACCCACGAACTGTCGGCCGGGCATGCCAGCGTTGATCTCTACCCCGGGCGTGCGGGGCAAGGGGTCTGCCATCTTCTGCGCGTTCAGGGAGGCGTTGTAGAGGGACGTCGCGGCGGTGTAGTGCGATCTCATCTCCAGGTCCTTGACGTCCTTGGTGAGCTGACTGTAGAGGTACATCTTGCGGGCGTAGAGGAAGAGAATGACGACGGTGGCACAGATGAGGTTGCCGATGACGATGGCCGGGTCGCGGAAGGTGATGGGCGCCTGCGTGGCCACGACCGTCCACACGCACCAGGCGATGGTGGTGAAGAGGGAGGCCAGCAGGATCCACCGCGTCTCCTTCGAGTTCTCCTCCGCGTGCCACGTCTCGAAGCAAAAGAGGATCGTCGCTGCTATGAGGACCATCACGTACACGAGGGAGATAACAAGGTCAATCTCGAAGCGCTCAGTGGGCGTGCATCTCCAGGTCTCCCCTTCGAGGTCCGTCCCTGGCGGGTAGAGGATTAACCAAGCGGACCCGAGGACGACCTGCACGAAGGTGAGGCCGATGGCCACAAGCATTAACCCACAGGGCCTGCTCAACCCGTCCGGCTCATCGCGAGTTGACGAATAAGTCATAACTCTCCAGGTATGTATCACCTTCACTAACATTGCGGAGAAAATTATGGCATAGGCCACGCCCATCATGAATCTCCTCACCGCACAGGTGCCGACAGTAGGCTGGAAGATGAACGCGAAGTTGACAGAGTAAAGCATAAGGCAGCCAATGAGGATCATGTAGCCGAGAACCGACGTTCCTGCTGCCGTCGGGTAGGACATCATGAAGTAAACCATCGTTACCAAAATCACGATAATGCCCAGGAGGCTCATAGAGCTAGTCATGATGCCATACACATTGCGGAAGTTAGAGTCAATGGGCAGGGGCTTTGGAAGGGCCATGGCGGCGTATTTGGTCGACTGAGAAGAACAGACCTCCAAGCAGATGCCCTCAGTGCAGTAAGAGTCTGGGGCGAAGGTTCCGATTTTGAACTCAATGCTTGGCTTTTCAAGACGAAGGTTGCTGTTCTCCCACTTGCCAGCATTAATGTAGCCATATTCCTTCCCAAGCTTCCTGTAGTTCCAAATGTGGTAGCCGTAAGCCCCGTCTTGGTCATACGAATTAGAATCAGCTGTGTTATTTAGCGAGAGTTCACTCTGATGCAGGATTTCTAACAATAACTCTGCCTGAACTACATTGCAGTCATCAATAGACTCTGCGTCTGCACAGTGTTTCGTTATGTATGCATCCAGACCATGTGCAATGGCGTTGATGCTGAGGATGGTGTGGAACACGTAAGGATCTTGCACAATGTCATCCGGATGAATGGATTCCGTGCCGAGGCATTCCTTCACATACTGCCTCTGCACTCTTTCACTGGGAGACAGTCGACACTGGAATTTGTTTTGGAAGTATTCCTCGAACCACTCGTCCGGGAACGGGTCATGGTTCTCTAGGGTCAGGTTTGCCACAAAGATCCTGAAGTCCGGGAGGTCATAGGTCTCCATGGTGAACGTGAGAGCTCCGGCTGACACTCTGTCCAGGCCCTTTGTCACGCTGGGCTTGTTGCCCCACGCATCGCCCGCCAGGAAGGTAAACCTCTCGCTCTCGTCAAGCTTGTCAGCGACCTTTAAGATTGTCCTAATGTTATCCGAGGCGTCCATCAGAAGAACGACGATCCTAGGCTTCCAGGCAACAGCCAGGGTTTCGATCAGCTCTCGGGCATATTCCTCGGACACGCGCTGCGGCACCCCGAGGGAGTCCCCGATGCACACGTCCTGGTTTGTGGCCATTTCGCGGAACGTCTCCATCATGAACTTCCCGTCATCATCGTTGTCATAGATCACATTGATGAACGTCCACTTGTAAGCTCTGAGGATGCTGAGGAACGTCCGCAGTTCCGCCGTCCTCGAAGGAACGCTGGTGAGGATCGTCTGGTCGTCGCGGTCGGCGAGCTTGCGCCCTCCGATGGGGGAGCTGAAGTGCGGGATGTAGTTGGAGGAGAGGATGTTGGACACGGCCTCCGCGGCGTCGTCGTCGAAGCTGATGGAGGCGACGATGCGGTTGGGCGTGAGCACGATCGAGTCGTCGCTCTCCAGGGCCTCGCCGGAGAAGAAACTGTAGAACCTCTCCCTCGCCCGCTCTATCCTGTCGCAGTAGTCGAAGAGAATGGCCCCTAACCCCACACCTACTTCATTCCTGTTGATCTGGCTGAGGGCATAAGCCACCGCTGCCACGTTCTGGAAGATTCCTTCGCTGAAGAACTCACCACACGAGAAGAAAGTCTGGCCTTGGTGGTGATACGGAACCAAGCCACTGATGCCGAATCGTTGCTGAGGGTACATCTGCACAAGTAAAGTTTCTTAAGTTAAATTGATAAAATCCTCGCCAGGTAAGGAACTTCCGGCTGGTATTCCTAAAACAATTTTCCGTTCATATACAAAACTCCTCTGCTCATTCTCAAAAGCTATACTAAAATACAAAGTCCGCCAATCAATAGGCTGAGGCGCTACACGGCAATCATAGGCAAACCGACAGGCAAACCGATGCAATACCTAGGCAGGTGATGTGTTCTCTTCTTGGCTGGCTTGGCGACCGCGACTACGCCTCCACACACTTCAAGGTCGATGCACTGAGACTTGACCTCGGACATTGACCTTTCGTTACCCTCGGCATCGTAGGTCACGACAAGAGTGCCATTGAGTGCCAAGCCATCCTCCTCGTTGAACATCCCCACACGCAGGAGACCGGCACCGCGGCGCCCACTAACTCGACGGAAGTTTAAGACCTGTTGGAAGAAAGATGAAAGTAGAAAACAACGATAGTGAAAAGAAAAGACGATATGATGATGCAGAAAGAAAAGAAAATAGAAAAAAAGGAGAGCGAGAGGAAGCGAGAAAGAAGTGCTGACGAAGATAAGAAAATAATATTTACAAAAAACAATAAACTAATCTAATCTAAGACACGAATACATCCCTTCATTCTTTTTTTTTTCGGAACCGTGTAGCTAGACGGTGAGAATAACCTGAGCTCACCTGTATCATCGCCGCTCTGTTATGGCCATCCACGGTGAAGGCAACGGGTCGACCGTCCACTCCTCGCTGGGTGATTGAGCGAGTTGACTGAAATAGCTTGTTGCGGTAGTGTTCGTCTGCCGTCATGTCGGGACAGGTGCCGTTCTCTTTGTCTGAGGGAAGGGGGTGTTATGGTAATGTTACTGCAGCGTTATGGCGGTGAAATGCGGCTGCTTGAAAGAGAGAGGAAGGTGTAAATGTGTTTGCTTATCTGGAAACTTTAGGACTTGATGACGTAATGATAAATCGGTAAATATACATTCGATTTATAACTAAATCTATTGTTAGGACTATTTATTTATGTTTATGTTTTATTGCCTCTGTTATCTCCCTTATGTTCTCAGTCTGTACATCTCACTGTCTGTTTCTCTCTCTCTCTCACTCACTCACATCACTCCGTCTCCCTCTCTCCCCTCCCTCCCAGTCCCTCACCGTTCCCTCCCCCCCCCCCACCCCCACCCGCACTCCTACTCCCACTCCCTCTCTCCGTCTCTCTCCCACTCTGTCTCTTACTCGCTCTCTCACCCCCTCTCAGCCGCCTTCGCTTCCCCTCCTTCCCTATCGTCCCTTCTCCTCCTCTCCGACCTTCTTCACTCTCTCTCTCTCCTCGTCAATCTCCAAACTCCTCTCTACTCTCTCCAAACTCTCTCCCCTCTCTCCCATCCCTCCCCTCTCTCTCTCTCTCTCGCTCCTTCTCTCTCTTCTCTCTCTTCTCTCCTCTCTCTCTCTACTCCCTCTCCTCCCTCTCTCCCTCCCTCTCCCTCCCTCCCTCTATCCTCTCTCTCCTCTCTCTCCCGCTCTTCCCTCTCTCCTCCCTCCTCCCTCCTCCTCCCCTCCTCTCCCTCCCTCTCCTCCCTCTCCTCCCTCCTCTCTCCCTCTCTCCCTCTCTCCTCTCTCCCCTCCGCCTCTCTCCCTCTCTCCCTCTCTCCCTCTCCCTCCCCGCCGCCTCACCCGGGCATGCCTCGCGGCGCCAGCGGTCGAGGCCCTTGGCGAGAACCGAGACGGCGTTGGCGGTGCTGACGACGTCCTCCGCCTGACGGAATCGGTGGCCGGAGAGGTTCCGCGCCGCCCCCGTGAAGCACCCGGCGCCTCGGCAACGGAACATCTGCAGGAAGGAAGGGGCGGCTGGATTAAGTGGCTTCTTGATGATAAGATGTTTGATTATGATGTTTTATTGTTTTGTTCATTGGTGACGTGTTTGGATGATATGTTTTATGTAATACGAGGTCGTAACAAAATTAAACTTTTTTTTTTGGACTTATAGTCGAAAGAAGGTCAGTCAAATGAAAAAATGAGGAAATATGCTGCTGCTGTTTGTACATGCTTATAGTAACGTTTTTTTCCCTTTTCTTTTTTCATGTTTTGCATGGGTCCTTAAAAAAATTATACGGTTCTGTCCTTATAATCTTTTTAAGGGAAAATATTCTAAGGTCCCTAGACAAACAAAAAGATGGGTATGATTTTAAAATAATCTTCTATTTGACACGAGTCCTTAACCTAATTAACCGTTTCGGCTCTTCTTAAAATTCCGAAAAGATCAATCAAATACAAAATGGGGAAATATTTCACTGCATTGTCTATGATCATAGCAACGTCTTCTTAAATAAACATAATATTTCATTCAACATGAGTCCTTCACCAAATCAAACCCTTTGGCTTTTCTTACACGTGAAAAGATCAACCAAACGGGAAAAATATTCTAAAAAACGACAAAAAAAAACAGGACAAATATACAAAAAATCCCAGAGAAAATGGACTTCCCAGAACACGAAAGTCCTCACCTCAGCCCAGAACTCGTGGAACCAAGGGTAGGCCGTGTGGTTCGCCAGCGACAGACTCCTGAAGTAGTTGGAGAAGGCGGGGACGGCGCCGCTGATGGGCTGCAGCACGATCATGCCCAGAGCCTCCGTCCTGAGGGGGAGAGGGGGGGGGGTTGGTTGATATGGCTTGGGAACGTCTTACGTCTTTACGCTATCTTCATGCCTAGTTTTTTATATAAGATTGCTGTTTTTGGCACAGATTCATATGATTGTGTGTGTGTGTGTGTGTGGTGTGTGTGTGTGTGTGTGTGTGTGTGTGTGTGTGTGTGTGTGTGTGTCGTGTGCCACATACTCACTTGATGTAGGGCATAAAATATACATACATACATACATACATAATATATATATATATATATATATATATATATATATATACATATAAATACATACATATGAAAAAGGAAAACAGTCACAAACAAAAGATGAAAATCCATTCCGTCTGAAATGAGAGATCGTGAAGAATTCGAAACGTAGCAGTTTGTTTTCATTTCAATTGTGGTTGCTCTCCTTTTCATTTCTGTGTACACGTTACTGTGCTTGTGTTCATATATATGTATGTATTAGATATTCATGTGTGTGTGTTTTTGTATACAATTGTTATTTTTTGCAATTTATTATGATTTATATGTATTTATATCTATATAGATATAGAAAATAGATATGTATATACATATGAATATAGATAAACATATATTTGTATATTCATTTACACACACTGCGTGTGTTTGTGTTCCTACATATATGTGTGTGTGGGGCGCCACATACTCATGCTTGATGTAAGGCAACGGCGAGTCCTCCATCAGGAACACGAAGTCCCCGGGCCTCAGCAGCCCCTCCTCCAGCAGGCCGGCCGCCGCCCGCAGGAACAGCGCGGCGTGGTGGGGCTCCAGAAGCAGCACCACCGCCCGCGCCCCCTGCTGCGCCGCCTCCGCCAGCCGGCTCCACACGCCCAGCATATATTCCACCTGGTCCACCTGCGGGCGAGTGGATGGTTGTATTATGTATGATATAGCTAAGAGGAATTTGAGGAGGACGAGCAAATTATCCTGTTCATTTGTATATCATGTAATGTTCATATATTCGTTTTCTCTTTGGATAAAATCAGCAGTAAATTGAAAGAAGCAGTCGGAGTTCAGTGGAAATTAAAATCTGAAAGTGCAATAGGTCATTTATTTCCCAAATATTTAGAAATAAACTATTTGCATTTCAAAATCGATTACTGATGTGGAAAGTGGCACGGCGTGTACCTATATAAATATCTAAATAATAGCTAAACAATAAAGTGAAATGCTTAAAACTAGAGGCAGCCTAAATAAACGATAAAAATTATTGTGTTTATATTTCTATTAAACGAAATTGATATGCCTGAAAAAAGAATACATATATCAAATCTAATATATATTAAATAGCCGTAAAATGGCGCATCATATGAAAAAAGAATAAAACAGGTTTTAGAATGGAACAAAATCTACTTCTCTACACCTCGGAATAAACGTTTCAATTAATTATTTACCTTGAGGGGGATGGGCTCAGCCATGGCGGCCTTGAGGTTGTGTGCTTCCGTTTCCCTCAGTAAATGTTTCTGCACATCCCCGGGGGCGCCTCCGTCAGAATACACGACGCTAAACACCTCCCATCGCCAGTAGAGGAGGAGGGACGCTATGGCACTTCCCTGGGAGAGGAAATGGGAGAGATAGAGGCATGAGATTGTTTTTATTTTACGTGTTTGTTGGTGGTTACGGGGAGTACGTGCTTATTTCGGATACGAGGTGTGCTTTAGGTTAATAGTCGTCACGCTTGCATTATCAATTTCAAGTTGTTTTCAGAGTGAAATTCGGGATAAAGAAATATAGATACAAAACAAAATACAGTAAATATCTTTCTTTACTTGGGGAGAACGATCAAAGTCGAAACAAAAGACTCACGGTGACGTCATTGGGCGGCGCGAGGCGAAGAAGCGCGGGAAAGCGGCGGGTGTTGGAGAAGGCGGTGCTCGTGGCCTGCGTGGCGATGGTGGTGATTCCGTAGGGCTGCGTCACGTCAATCACCTGTCGCACCTCCTCGCCAATCCCGCCCGCTATCATGCCCACGATGTTGTTTGCGGAGGGAACCTGTGAAATGAGAGGCGTCGTAACAGTTAGTATCTTAATCGTGATAATTATAGTTTAATGACGGCTGTGTGAATAACCGTTTCTATTTTAATAGAATCATGAACTAAGCCAAGCACTTGATCGTTCATAAATAAGAACTAAATGAATTTGAGGAGTATTATGAAGGTTTTGTTATAGATGTATGATTATCAAATTTATTAACCTGTTAGAAGTGAAATAAGAAGAGTCCTAAGTGTCTACAGCGCTTCGTTCCTCACAGTGAATCCGGAATCAATACAAATTATAGTCCTACAGTATCTTTAAACATAGTTCACTCACCCAATAACCTCAACACTACATAATCCATTCATCCAAAATTGATTATGAATAAAATAGAATAAAATAGATAATAAATACATGTACACGCACACATATACATGTGTGTGGGGGCGTGTGTGTTTGTATGTGTATATGTATATACTATACATCAAAAAAAAAACATTTTGCACACAGTTTCACCGAAACCTCGCAACCGGAACCTCACCTTCTCCCTCATTCTAGTAGGTATATTTCCCGTCAGGAAATTTGTGACGTCGCGCACGGCCTTCTCCTTACTACTGCAGGCGTCCAGCACGATGGCCCCCAACGTCACCCCAGGCAGGAGGTCGGGGTCGGAGTTCACTTGTTCCAGAGACCAAAGCAACGCCTCGACACTCTGGATGCCCTGGGGTTGAAGATGGTCATTGTTATTGTTGTAAGAACGACTGTGCGAATAACCATGTGTTTTGCTGTAAGAACGACTGTGCGAATAACAATAAGTGCTTTGCTGGAAGAACGACTGTGCGAATAACAATGTGTTTAGCTGGAAGAACGACTGTGCGAATAATAATAAGTGCTTTGCTGGAAGACGACTGTGCGAATAACAATGTGTTTAGCTGAAGAACGACTGTGCGAATAACCATAAGTGCTTTGCTGGAAGAACGACTGTGCGAATAACCATAAGTGTTTTGCTGGAAGAACGACTGTGCGAATAACCATGTGTTTGTTGTAAGAACAACTGTGCGAATAACCATAAGAATTATATTAAGACCGTGGACCAATTTACGCATTTGATAATTCAGAAACAACTGCATATGCTCATAATTACCATACTTAGCTCATTCACGCTTACAAATTTGTTGATACTATGGTAGAAAAAAGCACTGTACACAACTAAAAACTTGCAGACAAACGCGAACGTTTATATAGACCTATCTATAGTTATATTTACTTCTAACCATAGAATAAAACCGTAAACGCTGTTGCACTTTTAAATTATCACTAAAAGATTTTTAAATCATGCTTCATTCACTCCTTTGATTCATAAAAAAAATTATATGACGGAAAAGTTGTTCAACAAAAAAAATCGGCGACGTTTAATACCTTCTTCGTGGTTACCCCCCCCCCCCCATACACGATTCCTTTATGGCCACTTGCCTGGTGTGATAACTGTGCTACACGCTACATGTGGTTCTTTTACGTCTACAGGCAATCATCTTCTATATATAGTGCATGCATGTGGTGAAACCTGGTGTGCTTTCCCGTAGAATATCCCAGTTATGGTCGACGACTGATATTAGAGGAGGTACTGTTGAGATATATAATCAGAAGCAGAAGAGAGAAGAGAGAAAGTAAGAAAGGAGGAGAAAGCAGAGCGGAGGGAGATAAAGAGAGAAAGAGACAGACAGACAGAGAGGAGGAGAGAGAGAGAGAGACGGATAAGCAAAAACAATTAAGCAAACAATCAAAACAAGTATATAAAAACTTAAACACTTGAAGGCTAAAGAACCTCTTCTCCACCAAAAAAAAAACAAAAAAAATCCCAAAAAGTAAAACTAACCCTATCTCCCCTCAGCGGGCCACACTCGAGGGGTTTGTCTCCCCTCTCGTGCACGTTGAAGGTGGCCAGGATGTACAGCTGATCCGGGGACTCGATGAACACGTGGTCGGCCTCGGGGGAGTGGCAGGAGGCGCAGTTGGAGGTGCAGGAGGAGGTGAGGCGTTCCATCACCGTCACCGTTCCGTTGTGGTACTCGGCCATGGCGTTCCCCAGCGTCAGGGAACCGTCGACGTAGCGACCCACCTGCAGGAGAGGAGCAGGGAAGCTTACTAGACGGAAAACGAAATGAAGAAAAGGAGTATTGCTTTTGGTAATGATCATAGGTGACGATCGTAAGGTTAAGGTCACACATCTTAATTTGATAATGGCGAAGACGGATTCGCTATGAGGACTAGAATTCAGATCACCTTCGGGAACTTTTGGCCTCACCTTCTCGTATTTGTACTTTTGGATAGAGGATGGCGGGGCGCGGCGCAGGTTGAACACCTCGAGGGGAGCGTTGCCGTGGAAGTTTTCCGTAAATTGGAAGTACTCGGAGGGCTTATCCACGCGGGAAACTTCGGTGTTCCGCAGAAACTCGTTTAGGACGGTTCTCTGGCGCCACCTGCAGGAGAGATCGAGTTCTGTTGTGACAAAGGAGGTCTGATATGTTGTTTTTTATGAACATTCTCTGTGACAAACGATAACAACGGAAAACTCATAATTTTCACAAATCCCAAAGCTATTTCCTTACTTGGGCAACCCCGGACAGATCTTCCCCCCGGCGTGAGGACACAAGTGGCCCAGGAGCTGAGTGAGGGCGGCGCCGAAGGAGAAGACGGCCTGGATGACCCTGGGCGTCGAAGGAACCGAGGCGTAGGGCACCACGGGCGTCGGTTTGCCCTCCAGCAGGCATGCTATGCCCACACACCCGAATTCCTGTTAAAGCAGTTACAGTGAAACTATATCTGCCGTCCCGTTATCAGCTAATATATATCAATGTCTTTCATTTCCTTTCGTTTTCACCATAAAATAACCAAGAAAATTTCCGTTCAATACAAGCCTATCAATAACCGAAGCAATATACAAACCGACCCAACATCATCAGTGAATAACAACCTCAATATTGTGCAAACTGATTAGCATAAGGAATCCCCATACAACATACCTGTTCCCAGTACTGCTTGAACCAAGGATTTCGAGCGTTCTTCTCTGGGTCCAAGAGGCGATAGTGAGCGATGAAGTCACGGACATCCTGCTGGCCGTCCTTCAAGGCAAGCACGCCCCCTATTTCCGCGTCCACTTCACGCAACTGCAAGAATAGATTTTTTGTTGAATGTGAGTAGAAAGTTGAATATAGTGCGAGGGTCGGGAGCGGAATTCCACTGTAGGTGTTTGTCGTATTCATCTAGGTTTTTGTAAGTTTCGAATATTATATGATTGATTGGTTTATGACATGTTTTGGATTTATCATAATTGCACAAAAACAAGACATTATATAAATTATAGAAATATAGAAAATGTAAAGACGTGCTTATGATTATTTAATTCTTAACTCCTCCGAGACCTAACATATAGTACATCATTTTTGTAATGAAAATGTTTGACGTAATTAAACTGATCACTATCAAAGTAAATGAAGTTTTCACCTATATATTTTTTTATTTTAGTCACCCATTGCAATCAAAGAAAACGGGAATAAACACTTCACCTGGTCCTTGTGGTCTCCCCAAGTGGTTGTGCCTAAGAACACGATCTGGTGCTTGTGGAGTCGGTGGAGGGACACCGCCTTCTGCACCGCCTGCAGGAGTGCCTTCGTGTCTTCGAGGGTCAGGAAGAGAATCACGCCCCTGGCGCCCACGACCGCCTTCTCCGTCAGCTGCTCCACGATCTGACGAAGGGGATGAGAGGTGCTGTGTCATTTAATGTTTTCTATCCATTTTCTAATTACCTGTGGTTACCTGTGAGTGAGTGACTGTGTGTATGTTTGTATATTTGTGTGCCTGTGTGTGTGTGTAGAATAATCCAGTTTCACTACTGTAAATATTAAAATACCACAGCCCGACGCATGTGTCATCTACTCATATGTATGTGTGTGCGTGTGCGTGTGCGTGTATGTATGAATGAATGTGTATATATAATATATATATATATATATATATATATATATATATATATATATATACATATGTGTGTGTGTGTGTGTGTGTGTGTGTGTGTGTGTGTGTGTGTGTGTGTGTATGGGTACATGTATATAACTATGTGATGTGTATAAGTGTACTGTATGGCCTGCAACCCGGACTTCACCTGGCCAGCGAGCGTGGCAGACCCCTCAGCCTCGAGGGGAACCATCTTGAGGTCGAGGGCGAGGCAGACCCGAGACGCCCTCGCCACCGTCCTGAAGGCTTCTGCGCCCGCCATGTTCTCGGCGTCCTCCGAAGACACCACCAAGGACACGTAATCCCACCCCAGGAACCGCAGCATCTGAAGGAGAGGAAGAAGGAAAATGGTGGGTGAGGTTTCGTCTCCTTATTTCGAAGAGAGGACAAAATGTAAAAAAATAGATACATAAATAAAATAGATAAATAAACAGATAAATAAATAAATCGATAGATAGATAAATAAATTAATTAATAAATAAAATAATAAGTAAATAATTAATGAAATGTCGGAGAGGACAAAATGTAAAAAAAATAAATAATAATGAACAAATAAACAATAAATAAATAAATGAATAAATAAATAATAAATAAATAAGTAGATAAATTAATGAAATACATAAATAAAATAGAATAAAAATATTTTT